GAACTCGGCGTTACAAAGGCATATCTCATAATGCTGTCAAGAACTTTACATACTATTCTGGTCAGGCTCACTGGTTTATAGTTGTTCGTGGAGTGACGATCTCCCTTTTTGAAGATAGGACTTACATAAGCTATTTTCCAATCACTGGGGACCTTTTGCTCATCCAAGCATTTACAGAACAGGATCTTGAGGGGCTCAGCAAGCTCAATGCACAACTCTTTTAGCACTCTGGGATGCACCAAGCACCATGTCAGGGCAGGGATTCTTATGAACCTTTAGCTTTGAAAATTTATTTCTAATAACTTTTTCTAGAACACAATGTGTTACGTGCAACGTATGTCATGATAGAACTTGGTACTTCATGAGCTGTACGTCCCTGGGGGGCATACTGTAACTGTGTATGTACTCTTGATATATATTGCATGGTTATATATTTTTTCAGACTAGAATTACATTGTTTTTTGTGAATAGTTTATAATATTAAATTCTGTAATACTGTAATAGCATTAACAATGACATGTTAAGTACAATGTTTGGGCCAGTCTGCTCAAAGTAACCCATAGCCGACGGCTTCGGAGCTGGGTCAGTAGCTCACAAGCTTGGGTTGTCATCAGACCTTCACCACTGATCTGCATTGTCAGTTCACTTCTGTCTTCGATCGGGTGATGTACTTATGGTATTCAATGTTGAGGCTGGCTGGCTGTTTTGGTGTTTTATGTATTTATGTTCTAGAATCATGTATTGATTTAGTTGTCAGTGATATTGGGAACCTTAGTATGTTCATGTGATTAGCTTTATTTCATTGTTATTAGTGATAAACGTTTGTGAATATAGTTATACATTTTATTTAAGTTTCTTTACTTCAATCATTAAGTATTCAGTTATTAAAAGGGGCTGGATTCAATCCATATATTACATCGTAGTTGGAATTGTTCTCAATACAAATTTAAGAACCATATATTGTAATTCTCTTTAAATACATTCACTTTTTGTTTGTTTCGAGCCTTACCACTTTGACAAGTAAGAAATGTGGGTCAGTGCTGTGTCGAACCGTCTGTCCTCAAACTCAGGAAGATTGCTCGCATCCTCTATTGTGAACACCGGAGAAAAGAAACTGTTCAATGCCTCCGCTTTGTCTTTGTTACTGCAAGCAGTAATGAGTAGGATGACACTTAAACAAACATTATGTTAGGTTAAAGTCATGTCATGTTTGTTGAGTGAGCCTGCCCGTATACAGTATATAGAGTATTGACATGGTGGAGATGAGAGGCCCAGAGGACGTTGAAGTGTGTAAGGGAGTTTGTTTATGTATAATTATAATCACCTGACTCAGCCGCCCATCGAGAGAGGGTTGGGGAGGCGACAGCAGGGTATCGGCACTGTAGCTATTCAGACCACAGAGGCAACACCTAACCTGGTTCCTCTGTAGTTATTCAGATCACAGAGGCAGCACCTAACCTAGTTTCTCTTGAGACTTTCAACACGTAAGTTTAACTGGTACTTATTGTGTACACAGGTAGACTGTGTCCATTGCATCGTTTATCATTGTGACAACATAAAGATATGGAAAATTAAGTACTCATTGTAAGTGTTAAGATTAGACTGATTACATAGCTATGATTGTTATGTAAATATATATTGGATTAGACATTTATGTGATTGCCTATGTATGAATTATTTGAAATACTAAAATGAATTGTATTCAACAGGTTTGACCTAATTTTAAAGTTCGAGTTCAACGTCACAAGTTTCATTAAATCCTTTAACCGCCCGGATGGCGGTTACCGTTAAATTGGTCTACCGATTCTACTGTGTAGCAGAGTGTGAAGATGGGAGTCAATACGCGGCCAAGGTCAACCTTAGTGAGGTTCACCAACACCCAGTGTCACGGAGTACTGTGCAACACCCGTAGATTTATTGTGGCGATATTTAAACCTTGGTAGTGAAGAAAATAATTTTATCAGAGTGAGCTCAATCACTCCCAGTGTAGTGCATATGAGAATGAAAACAATTGTCATTCCCGTTGTCTGATGTAAGTGTAGAACACAATTTGCAATTATATTTGACTGAAGTAATATCT